AGGGAGACGGTTAAGAAACAAGCTCCTCGTGAGTATGCTTATATTCCATCAGCCGAACTGTTCTAGGGTGCATCATCCATGCACATGAATTCATTGAATTGTGAATTTCAGACTTTTCTTCTACGTCTTCCTAACATGCACATTTCAACTTGTGCGATTAATCATGCAGTATTCCCACAGCATCTCATACAGTCCTGTACATAAATGATTGTTTGTGTACTAGGGTTCTACATATTTTTACAGCAGTAGACTCTGCTTTGAAAATGCTTAAAGGATATATCTAAACCCAAAACCAGAATGTTCATATATTGCGGCTTACCAGTCCTTCAATGAAGTGGCTGCATTAGGGCTTGAGCCAACAGGCTTTGGGCTTGTGTAGATGGCATCCATTTAACGTCAGTTTGAGATGAGTCTGAGATGATTCAAAATTAATTGACAGGTGCAATTGACCTGCAGTTGACCTCCTTCTGTATTGCTGGATAAATATATAATCTCCATATTAAATTATTTTATTGGATGGCACTTAAGCCAAGAATAGAATTCTCAGAGCTTGCTTAATACAGAGAGCAACGAATTTAGCAGTAGATGCTCTGACCAGCTCAGGGAAATTTTAGGCTTCTGGAATGCCTCCCAAATGAGAGAAAACTGTTGTCATCAGTTTTTGTAGCATTTACCCAGTCCACACCCTGATTGGTTATAGAGACAACTGACTGACAGTTACCACTCTCTGCTGGAAGAACAGTGGTTACATAATTGCTCAGTGTTTGGTGTTAGAGCCGGCGTGTGACAGCGTCAGTGTCCCACGCCACCTCTAAGAAGCGGACAGAATATGTTCTACTATTCCCTCTAGGGCCATCCTTTTAATGCGGCAGCCTGAGGCTGTTACTTAGGGTCACGTGGGGGGCGGCAGGCAGAGCAGAATTGTCGCTCTGCTGCACAATGTTTGTTGTGTGTCTTCCTGCTGCCCCCTTTCTGCCCAGAGTGTCCCAGGTTGCTAAGAGCTGGGCAGGGAGATGTGCCAGGGCCATACACATCTCCCCTCTTAGCTCTGAGCAACCTGGGATGCTCTGGTGGGGGTTCTATCCAGCTCCTGGCAACTAGTGACATCACTTAACCACCACCACCAATCAACTCAAGCAGCAAAAAAGGATGACACTGCTTCCCTCACTTCTCCTATTAGTGTATCAAAGGGTTCCCAGTAATCATTAGGCAAACGCCAACTAGCCCTGAATGGAAGAAATTGAGATGTACATACAATGGAAACTTTCGGACCTTTAAAAGCAGCCAAGGCTGATGAATCTTGGTGTAAAACACAATCAGTCCCCTGAGATATGAATGAAATGAAGCTTGTCTGCTGTGTACCCAGGTATGCGCACTTACAGGGCACGGCCATATATACTATATAGCCAAACGTTTTTGGACACCTGACCATCACACCTAGCTGCTTATGGCTAAATGTATGAGGGCACCTGTCCAAATTATTAAGGTTTAGATGTTTCCAGTGAAGGGTACTGGTAATATTACAACATACAAATACTTTTTAGGTAACAGAAGATTGTAATGGTGGGAGAGGAGCACCAAGCATAATAGAAAGTCTTGGAAAAAAATAGTTAGTTACAGAACAATGATCACTTAATTAGCATGCCACCATGACGTCATGGTGGCGTCTCACCCGGTCTCTGCTCCGCGTGACACCCGGCCTCAGGACGCCCCTGCAACTACCTTTTTCAATTCAGAATTGAGAAAGCTCTTCGGATTGCCAGTGAAACCTCCTAAAGAAAAATACAGCAAGTCCAGTTGTCTTGATTTCATTTTTACAGATACACCGTGACCTGGGTGAATGAGAACCTTCACAGATTTAAATAAGGGACGTTTTTGCGTTTTTGGTGGGGTTTTTTTATGGGTGCAAATATGTCTGGTCACCTCTCTGCTTGTGAGTGGACAGTGAAGGAAAGGCAGAATACTCATAAGTCATCCTTCTGCTTTTATGTGCCCCATACCCAGAAGAAATGGGAATTTTATTTGGGCTGCAGTACAGTTCTTGAGGAGAGAAAAGGGGGAGAATACAAGAGAAGGTGAGTGAATGTCCTTCAGGGTCTGTTCTATGCGGTGGCAAAGGAGGAGAGAGTCACGTTTTTTTGCAACTTGCAACACAAAAGAAAAAACACATGGGATGTTGCATTGCTTGCAAAATATATAGATTGCAGGGAGGATAAATGACAGAGATAGCACCACAAATCGATAGCGCTGGAACCTGACCAAGCAAAAATACAGTCAACAAACAAGTGGACTCCTCCAGGTGATCATTAAGCCAGAAAGTTATATGAACAAATAAATGTGTTTATCTATAACAGTGATGGATGATTTGCTAAATGAGCATCCAACTGAGTATTTACCGACAGATTTAAAAGACAACAAAAGTCAAGTAAGGCCTTTAATAACTAGCTAAGGTTAACCCCTGAGATGTCAGTAAATCATCAGAGTTTGTTACCATGACACCACTGATATAAACCATCTGCAAAAAAAAAGGCTAATGCGGAAGCATGCATAAAATGAATTATGTAACATGGGTGTATTTGGATTTGCTATTCACTTAAAGAGCTAGGGTTGCCACCTTTTCTTCAAGCAAAACCCGAACACTCTAGCGACGCTCGGTCATTTTTGGGGGAGAATGTGTTGTAGCTTATTCATATGTAAATAGCGCCGCCCATTCATACTTAAATATCACAGTTGAGACTATTTTCAGTGGGGGGCCAGTAGCCCCTATCTTAATTTTGTCTGGACTTCTGCTGCCAAGAAACCCGGGCACAGCATTCAAAACCCGGACTGTCCGTGTAAATCCTGTACAGGTGGCAACCCTATAAAGGGCACCTGTCACTAACAATGAAAAGAAATTGTACAAAAAGGTATCACTAGGGAATGAATAGATCTATAAGCTCCTGGTACATGGCTACATAACTTTGGGCTCTCAAAATTATTCTCTAGCAGAGCTTGAGAATACATGATCCCCTGTTCAGATCACAACTCCTCACTTCCACCCAGAGTTCCAGGTGCTTAGAAATAAGTTTCACAGACACGTTGCATTGTGGGATACGGGGGTACCTAAGCTCTGATTTTGCATACTTTGCATGATCTGGGTTTGGGGTTTCCTAGTAGATGCTGGACATTCTGGGAGTTTCCTAGTAAATATTGAACATTCCGGGTTTGAGGGCTTCTAGTACAAGAAGAAAATTCTGAGTTTGGGATTCATAGTTAATGCTGGACATTCTGAGTTTGGGGATTCCTAAGAGATGCTGGAAATTCTGGGTTTAAAGTTTCCTGGTAAATGCTGTAAATTCTTGGTTTTGATGGTTCCTAGTGAATGCTGGACATTCTGGGCTTGGGAGTTTCAATTTAATGCTGGACATTCTGGTTTGGGGCTTCCTAGTAGATGCTGGACATTCTGGGTTTGGGGTTTCCTAGTACACACAGGGCATTTTAGGTTTTGGGGTTCCTAGTAGATGCTGGACATTCTGAGTTTGGGGGTTCCTAGTAGACACTGAACATTCTGGGTTTGGGGGTTCCTTGTAGATACTATACATTCTAGGTTTAGGGGTTCCTAGTATACACTGGACATGCTGGATTTGGTGCTTCCTAGTAGGTGCTGGACATTCTAGGTTTTGAGGTTCATAGGCCATTTATTTTTAGTCAGCAGTGGAAGTATGATTTTGTGATTTTGTATTTAGGTAATTCTTATTTTTTCCTACTCTAAATGACATAAATCTGTTTATTGGTTACAAAAAGTCTTTCAGCATGCTGGAAAATATGCCCAAGCTAGCTGTTTGAACATGCAGCCTGGTCTCTTTAGGAAAATTTGCTCTACCGAGCATACCATATGCTATCTCTAGGGGCAGCATGATTGCAAAGTCTGTGATTTCAGGAAAATTGGACAACATTTGGGGTGTCTATAGGGTATCTTGTCAAACAACCTTGCCCCAGCTCATTCAGCATTAAAAAGACTGCTGAACACTTGGAACTTTTAGCTAAGCACCTGCGACACATGTAAGTGTTTGCTTTCACCAGTTATCCTTAAAATGTCCAGGACACAGGTATTTTGTGTGTACCCATCACTCCTCTTCCAATAAATATAACAATTATTTGAAACCTCTGTAAACCATTGGAATTGTGGATGTTCTTTGACTGGCTTTTTGTACTTCTGTTCGGGTCACAGGATTTCACGTTAGTAAGAGGGTACTTATTGCAAGTTTCAGGTGTATAAAATATGCCTGTGTGGATAATAGCCTAAAGTGTGTTCCTACAAAAAGGGACCTTTGTAAGATACAAAAGCACCGATATATGTGAGAGCTGGACCGGCAGAGCACCTTTCCCTGATGCCAGGTCGCCATCAAAGATGCAATGCAAGTTGGTACTGTGTACTCAAGAGTCAAGTCTTTTCACAACAGTATCTTAAGAGCTTTCCTGGGCCATACACTATATTGTTGCAATAAAATAGATTTTAAAGTATGCTTTTAGAACCTGCACAAATACAGGCACGGTTAATACATTTGCAAAGCTTTTCTGGGTCACCACATTTCACATGTAGATTTAGTGGAAAGTGTGAAAAATATTTTAAGAAACCTGTGATTTTTTTTTTCCAGCAATTATATTTTTACATTGCATTTTCGCTTTCTGACTTTGGTGTGTCTGTATTTGTGTGGTTGTGTGTTTGATTGTTTTTTACAGCAAAAAGTTAGCCTAGTTTTATAGATGCCTGCAAATGTTTACACAATATTTGTGATGTTCTCTTAATTGTATTGATTTAGCAACCCTGGCAGTTTCCTAAAATAACACTTCTATCAACATAATGAAGTTGTGTAACCTCCAAGCTAAATTGGACATCCAAAACATGTTAAAACAACATGGTGGTGTTTTGTTTTTTTCTGAACATACTAAACGACACAGTACCACAGAGGTTTAAAGATACAAGGTTCCATAAAACATATGAAGTTGTTTATACTTACTTTGAGCAATTTACAGCGAATCTGAGCGGAGACCATATGGCTGTTTCGGAGGTTGCCCACTCTGAACATCAGGGTGAGCTTGCTATCCCTCATGGAGATGACGGCAAATTCGCTGAACATGAGAGTCTCTGCTCTCTTTTTGGGTTGGGACATCTTAATAAACATGCAGCCTATCAAAAAGGCATCGACGATGGAGCCAAGGATGGACTGGAAAAGGAAGAGAATAATTCCTTCAGGGCACTTGTCTGTGATGTACCTGAATCCATACCCGATGGTGGCCTCGGTCTCAATGAAGAAGAGAAAGGCAGATGGAAAGTTGTAGACGTTGGCCACGCAAGGTGTGTAGTTTTCGTCATGTGCTCTGTTAAGATCCCCTCTCAGGTAGGCAATGACCCACCACATGGATGCCATGAAAAGCCAGGCGACAGTGTAAGTCAAAATGAAGATGAATAGGTTCCAGCGCCATTTAAGGTCCACCAAGGTGGTGAAGAGGTCAGAGAGGTATCTGCTGGTCTCGCTTCCCAGGTTCCCATGCTGGACGTTGCACCTGCCGTTCTTCTCCACAAACCTCTGCCTTTTCTTTTTGGGGGCAGCTTGATTAAATCCAGAGCCACTGGAGGAAGTGGTCACTACCTGATAATCGTCCCCAAATTTCCTTCGGAGTGCAGACATAATACGAAGCAAAGCAACAACAGCCAGATTCAGTGGATGTGCGAATCAATGTTAGTTTATTATTCTGGCCTTTCGTCGTCTCTTTTTGGTTGCCTTCCACTGCCCGGGCACCTATATCTGGCAAACTATGGTTCTCCTGCGCCAATCTACAAACCTGATAATCCGTCAGCATCCATTGAGAGGTTGTGTGAACTGGTCAAAGCAGGTTACGAAAACTGATTGGCAATAGCTTCTTAAACACAAATGATGTTCTTAAATACAAAGCATCTCATTATCTCATTCCCAGATCCTTATCCCTTTGGCTTGTGGTTCTGCAGCACAGCATCTCCGGCAGCGTTCGCATTGCCTATAAGTTAGCATGCAGAAAGAAACGAAATAAAAAAAAAAAAAAGGAATAGAAAAATAAAGCAATCTGGTTACAAGAGTGACAGCGAATCTCGTTACCGTCTGTTCAGGTGGAAGTCTTTCAGGATTGCTCTCATTGAAAGTATTACTGAGCAAATGCACATGGGTTCGAGCGAAGGTCCAGGCTTGCAGTCTCACAGAGGCATACTCCCCCTCCCCTTAAAAAGAGAGGCTCAGCAGAGCAGAACTGTCTTGTGCTTGCAAGGATTTGAGGTTGCAACATCGAGCTTGCTTTCTCCAAGCAGCCTACTCTTCCTATAGCTTCCTGGGATGTTGTGAACAAAAGACACTAATGATCCTCAGAGCTCACAGGGTCTGCCTCTATCCTCATACTCTTAAGGTGGAAGGATCATTGTGATTGTGGTGAGTGTGTGTTAGGGAGAATGGAGATAGTGTTTGGTGTATGTGTGTGTGTGTATATGTGATCAGTTGCAGCGATCCCTGACTCCGCCTGCTCCTCTCTTTCTCCTCCACTCCCCATCTGTACGGTGCTTCCAGACTGCAGTGCCCATCACACATACAGACAATGAGGACATCTTCCCACACACACTTGTACAGCATGCATTTCCATGCACAGGGCTCATCACACAGTGCATGGCACACATGCACCATTGCTTGAACATCTCCTGCATCAAGGCAGGTGCACCCAAGAGCAATGATGCTGTCCTTAGGAACCAAGGACAGTTGCCAACTCGAGTTTACAGGGGGACTCTGCTGGTCCCTATTCCAGGCACAGTAGCTGATTTTTTAATCTGTTTTTTTAAAAATAAGAACATTTTTTCTTGAAATTTTTTAAACTAACTCATCGGCACATCCGTGATTGAGATCTGCTTTCTTCTGTGTTCTGTGCGCTGGCTGCAAGTCGATGTAGGCTAGGCTTACATCTGGGTGATCCGTGACCACTTGGCAACCACGCACTGCCGATCGCCCTGGCGGTGCCATTATTTTCTAATGGCACCCTAGGCGTGCCGGGCAGATTGTGCGGTTTCCTGCCGCGACACCCCCCCTGCAATTGAACATGATCTCGGCTAAAAAAAAACACTGTGTGTCCCAACAAAAGGTACATGTACCTTTTTTCAGAGATTGCCGCGCGGATGTAACTTTATTGAAATCATTGGGGCCACGAGGCAATCGCTGTGTGCAATTGTGCAGGATGGTGCAATCCCGGGACACGCGTCCTGGGATCGCCTATTTCTGAACCTAGCCTTATAGAGAACTCCTGTTGCTGCCGTGCTTACCTTGTGCTAAATGCACCATAATGAAACGCACAATGTTTCTGTGTTTTTTTATAATGTAGGCTTAAAGGGAAAATCCACCTTTTCGGAAAAATATAATACATGCATGTTCTTAATAAAATAAATTATTATTTCTTTTCTTTGGAGCCAGTAAAGCGTTGCAGCTGCAATCAGTGAATGGCAGGTGCAATGCTCTGGCTTCTGCAGCACCCTTTTTCCCCTTCATGTACGAACATTCAGTATCATGGTCTGGAGGAAGAATGAATGGAGTACAAGCACGGTCGGTGATGTCACCACACTTGTATTCCATTCAGAAACTACAAGTTCCTCTGCTGCAGTGGCTGATGGAACTTGTAGTTTCTCCATTCACAGATCCTGTCAATGTCAAAGCTGAATTAAAGTGAAATGGGCAAATTTATAACTCGAGATGTGCTCGTGTGTGGGCAGCCACTTTAGATTCATTTTAGTTTTGACTATACAAGTAAAGTGCACTCACGTCCTATACACAGCACATAATATGAAATATAGTCACTTAATAGGACTTTAATAATGTGGAATTGCATTTCAAAAATCATTTGTTTATCTGACACACATAAAAAATATATTTTATTGTAATTCCACTTTCACATTTGCAACACATCATTTTTTAGTTTAATTTAATGAAAATTATTTATCAAGCTAAGGCCTCTCAGTCAATATCACTGCATACTATTTTAGCGTTTTTTAAGCACAGTTTAGAACTCCTTAAAGCAAAACTCCGGATTACTTTTTTATTAACCCTTGCAGTGGGGCTACTCCCACACTGCAAGGGTTAAGTGCTCGTTTTTGTCTGGGTTTCAAAAATTCAGTAACAAAGTTAAACATAGTTATCCTCAGAGCCGGCTTGCTCTTAGACTGGACCCTTCAGCCTTTCTCCCGCTCTGCTGCAGTGGTCTAAGATCCCTGAGTCATCACCTTCAATACACAGTGTATAGGATGTGAGGATGCCGATGGACATACCATTGTTCAAATGGAGGGAGTGAGAGGATGGAGGGAGTGCTGTCACAGCCAGAGGATCGGGTGAGTATAACTTTGTTATTTTTGCACCTAGATCAAAGTGAGCACTGAACCCTTGCAGTATGAGAGTAGCCCCACTGCGAGGGTTAATAAAACATTTTACCCAGAGTTTTGCTTTAAAGCAGATGCAATCCTTAACTGAATGACGCTTAGTTTGCTAATGTACCGTGCATCATGTATTTTTGCATATTATGCAAATAAATGACTTGTTTTCACTTTCTTGTATCCTGTGTGGCATCTCACTGTTGCTTATCTCCTGTAGCCTCTTAGCAGCCACTTCCTGTCTACAAGCACCCCATGGATGGCTGCATGGCATTTCTCAGGACGGGTTTCTTGATAGTGAGTGATACCAGTGGCCTGTGCCGGTTGTAATGTGTGTTGATACAGCCACTTGTAGTCTTTATCAGAAGCCTGTGTGATGCAGCAGCTCAACTGACAGGCAGGGGCAGAGCCCTGTCCCCCCATTACAGGCTATTATATTAATTAAAAAAACATTTTAAAATACTCAGAATTATGTTTTTATATTTACAGGTTAAATCTATTTTAAGTACTATTGCACCTTGAATTGAATATGATCACATACTTAGGGGTCTATTCACGAAGCTGCCGAAGGATCTGGCCGTAGCTTCAGCCGATCCCTCGACTAGCTTCGGCCTCAGGACCCCTTCGGTTCAGTAGAACCAAAGGGGTGCTGTACGGGCTATTCACAATAGCCCGTACAGCTCCCGATCATGGCCGAGCGGCTCAGCCGAGCCGAACGCATATGCATCGGCCCGGCTGAGCCGTGCTGAAAGCCAAAACTGGCCGAGCTGGGATGAGCCAGCTGTGATCTTACGGCTGGCTCCGGCCACTTGTAGAGAGATCAGTGTCCCTGGTTACCTGCTAACCAGGGACACTGATCTCCAAACAGCTAACTCTCCCTGGCGGCCCGGGAGTCTCCTGGAGAGAAACACAGGGCATTCGGCTATTCACTCACTGCTGTTCGGCATCTTTAAGAATAGCCCGAACAGCAGTGAGAAGCCTGCCGGAGGTTCGATTCAGCCGATCCAGACGTTGGATCGGCTGAGTCGAACTCCTTGCTGAGCATGTTCGGCCGACCCGAAGCCACGTGAAGCAAGCCGATGTACGGCTGATTTCAGCCGATGTACGGCTGACATCAGCCGTGCCAGCCTGAAGTGAATAGCCTAACAGTGTTCGGCTCACTTCACTTCAGATCGGTCATTCACTCGGCTGCCCCCGGCAGCTTAGTGAATAGACCCCTTAGGATTATACGTTATCTTGTGTGTTTCCACATATGTAGAGATTTTTCTATAATCTGACATAGAAGAATCTGTTTGCACCCTCGGGTTGTAATGAGTATGGATTTTATTTACTTCTTCATTTCATTTTTTTGTGGGCTTTTTTAATACCTAAAAAAAAGGTAATTAGTAATTATTTAGTAGATTTTTAGACAATATATAATGGGGGCAGCAGTGAGCGATTTTCCTCTGAGAAGGTGTGAAATATGTGGTATGAGAATGCAAAAGGGGCAATTCTGAGAACAGGCAAATGTAACTGCCAGATTGGCCAGTCACATACCCACCCCAATCTCTGGCTAATGCAGTCGGGCGTCATTCATGTAGCCGCTAATCACTACCACCACTAAACGGCGGCTACCGTTGGTTTGTTTCCGGTATCTCGGGCATCTCAGGTTACATCTTTGACCAAATATGGTCACCACCGCTTCCATGATTTTAGGCTCAGTCCCGGGGAGAGTTACGTCCCACACTTAAGGCCCATGCCACACAGGGGCCAGGGTGGTGTGGCCGAAGCTCTAGGCGAACTTAACCAGTCACAGCCACTGACTGCCCCACTGTCACTAAACCACCACACACTCCTGCCCCGAACCAGCTACTACAATGAGTTCCCCAGGTATAGGCCACCCACCGATCACAGGAATGAGGAAATGCAGTCCACAATACTGCTTGAACATAACTTCCCTTTTCTTATGATAGGATAAAGCAAAACAGTCCATTGTACAGTGTCATGGCCATGACTGGCCCACCACCAGATTGCTGCAAAAAGGAATGTGTTCTCTCAATAGAGTTTCTAACTGTATTGGCTAGACCCACTTGGGGAAGGACAGTGCCACCACCCCACTATAAAATGGGGATACTACATTATTCCAACTTTGGCCCTGTATCTCCAATGAGGGCTGACAAGAGGTTATTTCTGTTCTTTTCTATTATTCAGATCATAGATCATAACACATCAAAGTGCACGTCAATACATGTTTAAAAGAGTGGATTTTTCCGAAAGTGTAAATTGAGTCTTTCATGCCCCAGCGCGCTTAACCCCCTCCCCAGCGCGCTTAAAAAGAATAGTCTTGGATACAGAGGACGGGCAGTGAGCTGAGTAATGCTGAGCTTGCGGTTTTACCAGGCTTAGAGTTACTGAGCTCCAATGAGGGCATGGACACTTCGGCCTCAGTGCTGTCGTCCACAGTGCCTCCCTGAGTGCCGCCTGAGGCAGCCGCCTCAACTGACCTCATGGGAGGCACAGCTCTGGTTCTATAAATGATATACACTTTGGGATTGTTAACTTTTTAATTTCGGACACCTTTACAGAGGTCAGGAGCTGCTCTATGTGTGGACACTGCAGATGATTTTTTTTAAAGCTCATCTCTAGTCTGGAAGAAAACTTACCTTTACAGCGAGGTCCCCTCCACACTGCAAGGGCAGAATGTTCAATTTGTCTATGGGGATAGGACAATACTTACCGTTTTTCTCATTCTGACCGCAGCTGACACTCTCCACTGCTCCAAGTATGTAGGCCAGCGATCGGCATCCTCACATACAATGGAGGACCTCTAGTCCAGCATTGTGAGTGAGGATGTTGGATAGCTGCAACAAGGATTGGATTCAGGTGACCAGTCTTTCAAAGAGGAGGAAGCCTGCAAGAATGAAAAAGGTAAGTATATTACCCTAATTATATTATTAGTATACAATAGTATATTATCCCAATCCCCCAAGCATTTAGTCCTTGCAGTGGGTCCCCCGCC